AACTGAAAAAATATAGAAATGGGCTTAAATGTATGGGCCGAACCCATTAGTCTCTTCGCAAAATCAGTTACACTATAAAGTATAAACCAATGGTTTCCTAAACCAGACGAGACTAAACCAATAGAAGAAGACCAGTGAAATAAGTGATGTTCTGCGCATTGGTAAAACAATAATTTTGAACGGACATTAATAAAGTATGCCAAGAATTTTTCAAATTTTCACGAAATAAATTAAACCGAATCTTTTCACCAGCTAGTATTTTTCTTGCTGGTTTTTTTTTTAACCACAAATTCTCAAAGTCTCAAGAAAAAAAAATCTGGTCAACAATCCAAAATTAAAGTCGCATTTATTTAAATTGTAGCATACGACTCTGTTGAAACGTGCAAGACTGTGAAATAAAAATCCAAGTGGATCTAAAACACTATATAACGAGGACCCTCCCAAATAGAAAAAAAAATAAACAGTTTTTACTAAATAAAGCAATAAAAAAACAAAATTTCCAACAAAATTAAATGCTATTTCTTACAGCTACATAGCCTACCTCGTACGGACGCTAAATCATTTGTCCACGTGTCTTTATTCTGTTTGCTCCAGCAGATATCGAGGAAACGCGTCCATACGATTTTAATTCGCTGAATACCGGTGGGGGCCACATAACACAGATTGACACGTGGCATAAAATTTTCTCGTACCCTTTTGATCTTAACCGTTCGATTGAGTGGTTCGGGTAAAAACAATGTGTGTACGACCTTTGTCTACGATTCTACGTGTTTGGTAATTATTTCGTGTACATCATATTTTTTGTTGTTAATATTCCTAGTTTACCACACTGTTCCATTTTATATAATCTTTGTCTCATAATTTTCTAGAGTTCGTTATTGCCCCTGCAAGCTCAAATTTGAATTGAGAGTTTCAAATTTAATTACAGTTTTAACTTTGAATACTCTTTTGAATGGAAGTAACCAATTTTATATTCTAAAATTGTCAAATCGACGTCGGCTAATAAGAATTTTGTGTCACAAGATTAGCTGTCATCAATAATTGAATATATGATCTTATTTTGTCTTTTTGTAATTATAGATCCGTTTTAGATTTACTTTTAAACTTGTATTTGTGCAACATTCTCTCCACACAATCATGTTTAGTCGAAGATCAATTTGGGAAAATATACTGAAATAATAAAACACACGATATA